GAGGGCGGGGCATGTCGGGGTCGAACCGACTAAAACCTCCTGTCTCTCAACAACCAACGTCCAAACCTCACGTGAGACAACACTTATGACAAGGCAAAGGGGGGAAAGTGAAGCGTTTAGTGCGGAGCACATCTCTCCCATCTCCCTCCCCCTCGGGACGCCGGACTGGCGGTCGTCGGCGCCACGACCACCAGCCCTCTCGGTCGGCACTGTATACATCATAACGTGTATTTTATTTTGAATTTTAGTTATCGCCGTTCTTAGACGAGTCAATAGAAGAGACGACAGCAAACATCATCAAGTGTGATTACTGCTTCCCTCCCGAACACTGGTCCGGCATCGAGGAGAGGGCCCAGCAGATCATACGCGGCCTCCTCGACCCGGCGCCTGCCAACCGACTCTCCCCGCACGATGCACTCAAGCACTCCTGGTTTGACGAGGTAACGACTTCACTCTATTGTTATTAAAAAAAATTCATCAAATTCTCATACAAAATCACTAGTGAAATAAATATATTAGAGTCGACGTCGCCCTAAACAGGTCATTGCGGATTCTCCCGATCCATTAACGGTGCTCTTAGGTACCTCAACCACCGGTCACCGTCCTCGTCGAACTCGTCGCTTGAGACGAAGGGCTCGACGAGCGAATTAACCCATAGACACAGACCACTGAGTTTCTCGCCGGATCTTCTCAGTGGGTCGCGTTTCCGATCCGGTGGTAGATTCTGCGAAGCACTGCTCTTGTTAGGGTCAGTGTTAGCATCACTCCGGTTTGAGCCCTGTCAGCTCACCTACTAGGTAAGGTTACGCTGAAAGAGCCTCTTAAGGCTATCAGCTTAGGTAGGAAAAAAAAAGGACAACAGTAGGGTTGAATGATATGATCTGTATCTAAGCATTTACTGTTGTTTCATTCAAGGCTCCGTCGACGCTGTTGTCGGCGACCCAACTGAAGACCTTCTTGGATCGGCGGCGACCTTCGGGACACGGCAACGCCCTACACTCGCTCCGGTCACCGAACGACACCTGAGGAGACGCGAGCGAGGAACTCCGTCTACAGCCGCCGTCGGAGCGAGGGCTCGCGACACAGGTGACGACTATGACTGATCATCCAACCATCCAACATTTAACTATAACACAAAAGAACACACATACTTGATTACAGCGAAATTATTGTTATTCAGTTCACACGCTCGTCCGTGAATTAGGAGTCGACGCTCAGCCATAGATGTGGATTCGGAATTCGCTTTCATGAAAGTAGTCGCGACGTTGATGAATAAATTGGGCAGTTTTTTTTTTCTCTAAGCCTAAGGGGCTATTCCAGCTTCGCGCGCATCGGTAGGTGAGCTTACGGGCTAGCTCTAGGAAGAGCAGTGCTTCGCAGAATCTACCACCGGAAATTGGGCAGTGATAGGTTTGGTTGCGGCGGCGGCCTGTTTTAAGTTTTCAAGTTAATGCGACGTCACGATCGTTAGCCTTTTAGACTAATTCTTTTTTACTATAATCATTCTATAGTCAATGTGCCCACCTTTTGAGTTCGGTTATTTAGTAATGTGAAATTGTTTAGCGGCGTGTCTTTTTAATAAACCAACATGGCGATTTTATTTTATTTCACTATGAACATGCCAAATCGTGTCTATTCGTGTGTAACTGTGTAAGACGCTCTTTCACAGATTAATCATAAATTCCTAGGCCATTCCAGAAGTGTAGTTAAATTAGCAGGGTCGTGCTTCTTGCTGTTTCTGGATTCCAAACTTTTATTCTCTATATCATTTTAAAGATTTTTTTATTAATTTCTTTTATGTATTAATAATAAGTTTTAATGTAATCTATACCTTTATTCTTTGCGTTCTAACAATATATTTAAAATGTATATTTTATTTCATTTAATGTTATGACATTTTCTATATAAAATGTTTTTAAGTAATCTTTGTAAGAATCCAGCGATGGCGATAACACAACCTAATTTTATAAACAATTAAATATTTGGCATATGTACCTAAATTGTGTATTTCTTAAAATGGCCGTTAGTAAGGAAAAGTGTCTGTGATTTATGCTAAAATAAAAATAATTCATGCTTATTCCTAATTTAATGTACGTACTTTGTTAAAAAAATAACTATTAATTTGTATATAGATATAAGTTTTAGCACGTAAATGTTCGTCTTAATTTGTGACCAAAATTTCTAAATTCGGAAGTAAGTGCAACGTGAAAATTTTAACTTGACTGTAACAACGTTCGTGTCTCTGTTCGGATAGGCGAGGGGTATTATGTGAAATGTTTTGTTTTGATCTATTTTAATTTTTATAAGCGATCGCAGTCAATATAGTTTAAGATATATGTTCCAGCTTGCTTGATTAGATGTAAGTGATGTAACGATACAACTCTATTATTATAATTTGTATTCACTGTACTGATTGATATTATCGCACAAAGTATTACGTGATCGAATACTTTTTAATTTGAATTTTTATTTTCTAATTAAGAAACGTCCGAACAAGGCGATGCGAATTATTTCGTAGTGTTTTAAAATAATCTAGATCTTACGATAAGGATCGTCAAACTTATTTTAAACATCACATTTCGTTAGTCGCTACAATTCGTGATTCTTGCATTCATTATTTTAAAGAACGCTTTTTATATTGATGTAATATTATACCTTCAATGTACTGTAATGTTTATTGGATTAATCACGATATATGCACATATAACTTCGCCGCGTTTCTTAAGTATCTTAACTTGTAATTGTTTATAATTAAAAATGATTTAATTGTCATACGATTCAAATTAATCAAGAGGTGAATATTTTATCAGTTGATTTATTAAAATAACTTCCAATAAGTTTGTTCTGGAATTACAATCGCACAAATATAAAACGTTTAACTGAAATAATTAAATAGGATTATCTTATCCCGATTGGCAATTTATGAACTTGAAACTATACGACAGACTTATTGAGATTCCGCCGGAGACGTGGGACTAAGGAGCAATTTTAATCAGTTTTATCTCCAGTAGAGATTATTTATTGTAATTATAATTCTCATTCAAATTGCATCGGACTGTAGTCAGTCGCGATCAAACATCACCGTGTATTAGTACTGATGTTAATAATATAATAAAATCAAATATATCATTTTGTGAAATTCTGTATTTTATTTGTAATTTTTTCATGTTGTTTTGTCAAGAAACAAACGGTCTAAATATTGACGTATGTATTTCCTTGGATTCACTGTAATAAAACCCCAGAAACGCTACGCAAGGGGACAAATTAAAGCTTGGTAACTAAAAGGGCACGATTGTATCCACGCAAAAAAAAAAATTGCTTGCTTTGGTGGACGAGCTCACAGCCCACCTGGTGTTAAGTGGTTAATGAAGCCCATAGACATCTACAACTTAAGTGCGCCACCCACCTTGAGATATAAGTTCTAAGATCTCATAGAAGCAGCCTAAATAATTGGTGGTATTATGAATACGTGGTTCATACTAAGCAAATATCATCCTATTTATCTGTCACCATCTCACAAAGCAATTGTGTTTTACTACACCGATTTAAATGGGAAGAGATCTTACATGAAGACAAACCGCTCGAACAAATACTGTTATTCCTCAATCTAAAACACCAGAAAAATACATACTAATCTAACATAAACGGTAAAAGCCATTAATTTGATAAATTGAGCTTTCGGTAGCACATCTCGTGAGCTCATACATCAAAATATCATCACCACCACCACTCTATTTGTACCGATTAGCTGAGATTTACAATTGATATTTAGACCTCTTGGCGGCTATCATATTGTGATGTCTAAGGATTTCTGTAATGACTTAACGCCAATTAGGCCCTGAACTTATTCACTTATCACATATGTATATATTTGCAGATATAGTTATGTGCATTAAAAAAAGCATATTTTTGATAAGTTTTTACTTTTAAAACCAGAAATGTATCGCGTAGGTAGTATGCAAACATTAGCCTTTCTCTCTATAATATGTTTGCTGTTACAACACGTACAACGCATGAAGAAGCTTCGGTTTAAAATAAATAAAAAATAGTGCTGTAAAAACATCTAATACAACAGACACATCGTGTTCACGTCTCAAGATCACGCTCTCACGTGTCGTAAGATCGTCGTTCATTTATAGCAAAGAAATAATAACATCATTAAAAAGTCAGTTTCCTTTATTAAACAAAAAGTAAATTATCAAATAGAAAATTTCAATACACGGATATTATCATATTATCATAGAAAAATGTAGGGTTAATTAAACAATGTAAATAATACATTCGCAAACTTTTAAGAAAGTAAAGGAAAAATTATAAATGTCTAAAAACTGAGAATATTAAGTGAGGTACCGGTAAAAAATATAAATTACTGGAACTCATTTAAATTAAATAGGCTAATGAAAATCAAAAATCCAATCTTGGGTACAAAATAGGCAAAAGGATATACAATAATATTACGATATTTCAAGTAGGTACGTATGGGTTCACTTGATTTATGAAACCAGGTATTGGCAGTGGGCAAGTGCTCGCACAATCATAGAAAAATATATCTCTTAATAAATGTACCTATGCTTTATCTGTAACCGAAGAACAAGAAGATGACATAAAGATGTGACTAGAGGTAGTAATGAGATTTTTACAAAAGCTGTCGTTCACTAGAGATCGTACAATTAATTACGTATGATCGAAAAAAAATTAGAAGAATGAGGTTACATTGTTTTATTGATTTTGCTGTCAAATATTACTTTTATGTCAAAGGATCGAAAACGGTCCCTAGCACCCATCTGCTTATTATACGAGCACTGAAATTGCTATAGCTAAGCGAATGGATAAATCTATTTGCTTTCTGGCTTTAAAGCATTTAAATGCACAGATTAGAGGAAAACTTAACAATAATACCGATTTGAGAGCACAATTGTACCTATAGTAATCTTACGCACTTCTTAATCTCTTCTGGGACATTGGCACATATGGGTACATTTGTTTTTATTTTTTTATTCTTATAATTACGCTAAATGGCCACTTATGTGGATATATATAATGTTTAATGAATATTTACTACTTTTGTTAATTTTTTTACTTAATGCTTTCAATATAAAATAAACAAATCAGAATAAAGAGTATCAAAATTCATGTTTTCGTATGTACTTTAAAAAATTCGTCCCTGAAGAGGTTAAAGGATTCGACTCCATCTAAACTCATTGAATTTACCAAGAAATTTAAATGAAATGCGAAAACAGGGTTGTATATTAAAAGTAAAATGCACGTGATTACACACTAAAATACGTAAAAATAATAATACAACTCCAAAGGAATTAAAGCAAACATACAAAAATGGCTCGCAGCCTGTTACGGTTTTGGTGGGTTATTCATATCAACAACACACTCCGCTCAACGCACCAAAACCGCATTCCTTCGAACTCAGATGCATTCGCGTTAGAATTTAATGTTGTTCTGCACTTTAGCCATGACTTTAGCAGATTTCCGAAGCTGTGCCACTTCAAGTTCGGTTAGAGGCTGGCGGATGACGTCAGAGACTCCACAGTGACTCAACACGCACGGCAGCGACAAGAATACTTCGTCTTCGATGCCGTGCTCGCCCTAAGGAGAAACGTTGACATTAGGCCAATTTACATATCATCTAAGATTACAGTATTATATAAAACACTAGCGACCCACCCTCACTTTGCTTCGGAAACATGAAATTTTATTCTTGATTTTTTACGACATCACATTAGAAACCTCAAAAATAACAGTATTTCTCCACTATTTAATGGATGGTATTATACATATAAACCTTCCTCTTCAATCACTATATTAAAAAAAACCGCATCAAAATCAGTTGCGTAGTTTTAAAACTTTAAGCATACATAGGGACAGACAGACATAGGGACAGAGAAAGCGACTTTGTTTTATACTATGTAGTGATTCATCATAGCCCATAACCCAGATTACCTTGAGATAAGTAGAGACCGCATGAACGCTGTTAGCGTTCGTGAGTATAGCCCTCACGATCTGAGCCAGCGACAGTCCGATAGCCCAGGAAGTGTATCCCTTCAGTTTGATGACTTCGTAAGCACTTTTCACGACATTCTCGTGAAGCTCCTTCCAGTTCTCAGGATCGTCGTCGGTTCCGATCTGATTGTTGAGATCACTGAGGCGTACTCCCGCTATGTTTACTGCAGACCATACTGGAACTGTGTCCAAAAATTTACGTTAGTATTAAACGGGGTTACAATTATTATTGTTATACACGAAATATCGTCTTTTCGCATTAAAAGTGTACAATTTCCAAAAATATTCGAAATTAAGTTAATATGCGGAATGATTTGCTATCACCAGTAAGTGTTTTTCTCATAAATACTGTCAAAAGAGCGTAGTTTAGTTATAGTTTTTTTTTTAGTTATTTGTTTTGACTACTATTAACAAAATTAATACATAATTTTATCTTACTTTAAAAGACAGATAATGTAACTGGTAAAAAATAAATGTTGCAAAGATGATTAATATTAAAAATATCACATGGTAAACCTTTAAAACACTCTGTTGTAAAATTAGTAAGTTTTGAGATTATACGGTTTTAATGCAAGAAGACGATATGTGTTTATCCATTGGTTGATAACATCTATATTGTTTATATTTATACCGACAAATTAAAATGTCCCATCTTTTTATAACCATAGGACCGTAACCTAACTTCGTTGCTTGCCTGTGGGTAGAAACAAAAAAAAGTTAAAATGTAAACAATATTCGCTCGATAAATTCCCCTTACCGCTGCTGTCTCCGTGTTCGCCGATGATGTAGCCGTGGCAGGACGTGGTAGCGATACCGAGCCTGTCCGACAGCAGGTAACGGAACCGTGCCGAGTCCAAGTTAGTGCCGGACCCGATGACGCGGTGCTTAGGCAGCCCGCTAATCTTCCACGTAACATACGTCAGAATATCCACGGGGTTACTGGCGATCACCAATATTGTGTCCGGACTGTACTTTATCAGCTGTGCGGATCAACAAAATAATTAAATTATGAGACCTTTTTACTGGTGGTGGGACGTCTGGTGAGTCCGCACGGGTAGGTACCACCACCCTGCCTATTTTCTGCCATGAAGCAGTAATGCGTTTAGGTTTGAAGGGTGGGGCAGCCGTTGTAACTATACTGAGACCTTAGAACTTATATCTTAAGGTGGGTGGCGCATTTACGTCATATTACGTCATAGGTGTCTATGAGTTCCAGTAACCACTTAACACCAGGTGGGCTGTGAGCTCGTCACAGTATTTTTATAGTTATGTAAGCAATAGAAAAAAAAACATATTAGACAATTAGGAAAACACAAGAAAACATAATCCAAAGGTAAAAGGCTATTTGGTTTAAGCGACGTTTTGTTTATTACGCAACATTTATCTTTGTAATTAAAAGCGCGTATTATTTCGCATTAGTATTAACAGTTCGATGTTTTTAATTGAACTTCAATTATGTGTACTCCTTTGAAATAGCTGAAGAAGTTTTTAGTTACGATATTTTTTCCAAATTTTAAACTTTTAAATGGCTCTCCTGTAAAGTTGCAAAAATGTCGGTTAAACCAATTAGCCTTTTACAATCGTTATGTATTTATCATACATAAGTCGATTAGATGTCCGTGATGTAAATATGAACTACACAGCACTATTTTATAATAAGCTAAGCTTGATACTAAGCTATTTGATGCTTAGTGCTGATCGGAGACTTGGGACAGCAAAGCGAACATTTTCGCATCGCTTGATCCATATCGACGCTTGAAAGGCAAACGTGACTAAGCGCCAATAACTGCTTTGTACATAAATGATAGGCAATAACCATATTTGATGAAAAAAAAAAAATTTCTAGGTCTATTAAAATCATTTCAATCCTACAACTAGATTCGCTAAAATACAATATTTTTTTCAGGTAATTCTCATGTATATTTTAAATTAATTTCAACTTTAAATTAGTCTACTGTAAAATTCACGCATTGTCGCTTAGTCATATTTGCCTTTCAAGCGTCGATATTATACATACAAGTTATGTAGATTAAAATCTAACTACAGTATTAGAAAATGCTTAAAACATGCGCAAACTAATGGTAGTTTGATATTCGAATCAACTGAATCGTGTTTGCCAAGACCGCTGTAGTTAACGAATTGGCAAACCGCAATACATCTAATGAAAAAACAAAAAAATATATATTCGATAGCAAATCATTTGCGAAAACTAAGCTACTGTCCTTTTTCGGTAAGGCCAGTTTTGGTATATAGTTTTACGGCGCATTTGAACGGCGACCTCATTGTTCAAATCTAATCTCTTACGAGTTATTTATTTGAGAGTTTTATTTAGTACTAGCTGACAGACTTCGTAGTGCCTCAATCGATAAATAAAAGACCTAAGCTTTAAACAAACAAAATAAATCCGTCCGATGGGGGACACATCAAAGGAAAAACAAAACAAATCGGTCCAGCCGTTTTTGAGTTTTAGCGAGAGTAACGAACAGCAATTGATTTTTATATATATAGATATTGACCAGCTGCGTTCCTAAACGATACGGTTACTAAATTTAAAAAAAGAGAGAATGCATGCCCTAACTAAACATACCATACATACCCTTGGGGAAAAACCATTTTTACCTGCGGGATTATTTGTTTAAGCACATCGGTGTTTCTCTGCACGAGATCGAGACGAGATTCACCTTCGCGTTGTCGAACACCAGCAGTAACCACGCAGATCTTCGAGCCAGCTGTTATAGAATAATCTGCGAAAAAACATTAACATTAAATTTAAGTCGCCAAGTTTTTGCATTTCAAATTTTATGCACAACGATTTTCTAAACATAAAACTATTTTTCTATTCATTAAGCATTTAAAGGTCTCTGTTGAGTGTTTTTTTCACTTTTTTTACGTGATGAGTGCGAACAATCGCCTTGAGATATAAGTTATATAGTTCTATGGTTGCCCTAACGTTCAAAACGAAATGTATTATTTTTTCGCAGGATAAATAGGCAGAACGGTGTGTTCTACCCGTGTCAGTCCACTAGACTCCAAACACCAGTAAAATATCTTAGATTTACGTGTTATAAGAAGCATACTATTCAAATAATAAAATTCATTTATATTTATTACTGATGATTTATCTAGTGAAAGAATCTATCTTTGTTACTGTCGAATTATTCAACCGCGCATATCTGCATCTCTTCATATATCACATAATGTGGATACTCAAATTCAATTTGATTTTTAAAAAATACGACACAGTTGTACTTCGAAATAAGCCCTAGTTTCTTGCTACCAAGCTTGCAGAGACAATACGAAATCGCGCGTAGGTTTTATTATCCCATAGATCACCTTTGGACTCTCCGATATAAATTTAAAATATTAAGTATTTTTCGATTGGTATACCTAATTCATAATATACAGTAAAATATAGAGAAAATAACTAAGTATATGTTATACTATATCTATACTATATTATACTATACTACGTCTTGGAAAACATATCAACTAGAATAGCAAAAGACTACGGTTCGCCGATCGTAGCATTCAATCTAAAATGATATTAAACAAATAAATAAAATTCTTAGGGACTAATAAAATTGTAAATTAATAAATCTCCGCTTACCCGTACTAGATTGGATCTTGGCGTTCCTCATGAATGCTGATCCGTGCTGCAGGTCCATCATCTCTCCTTTCAATTTGTCAGCCATCATGTCTACTAGAGCGATGTTATTCGTAACATTCTGTGCATTGAAACATACTCTTATTTAAGCACCCATAATATTCTTGTAAACTCAACAGGCTCTATCTACAGTGCTAATCTAAAAAATCTAAAATGTACTATTTATTACAAAGAATTTGCCACTCAAAACGGTAATTTGTCAAAAGTAAGCTACAACCAAGCGATTCTATCTTTCTATTTGAAATTCAAATTAAACTTGATTAAAGAAAAGAACAAGTACATCAATATTGTATCTACTATGAATACTCGTGAAAGAAAATAAAAAAGTTAACCATGATTTTCACTAAAGATTAAAGTATAAGTAGCAATTCTAATCTATGTATAAACAGGCAAGGGCAAGATAGTTCAATACCTTTTTCTCATGTGCTTTCAACATAATTTTTTTTTTTTGTATCTATTAAAGCGATTGAGTGTTAATGATAAAAAAAAACATTGCAAAAATAAGAAAAAAATTCAAAAACAAAAGAGAATATATGTATAATGCATAAACTAAATTGAAATTTTGAGGTGTACTGATCATGGTAGATTTTCGACGACTGTGCGAAAACTAGGAAGTACAAAATTATGAATGGCCATCGTGAATCAATACTATTCGTCTATTATTATTTTTATCAGTACTACCATTAACGAAAGTGAGATAAATAAATATGGTTTAAATACAAGCCAGACGAAATGTCATTTGGAGCAATTTATAGCATTGCACCGATGCGACGCGTGTACGTACGTAAAGGACAATCTTATCTACAGTTCTAAATATAAAATTAAATAACGGATCCACTATCTGATTCCGTGATGACTAAGCGATTGTTGCTGCAATCCGTAATCTCTGCTGCAGAAACACGGGGTTTGGATTTTTCATTCCGGGTTAATAATAAACAATGTTACTTTCCTGTTCATCACATTAATTGCGGTAATGTCCGGTTTTCCCACAGTTTCACGCACCGAAGTTTTAACCTACTATTGAATATTTAATAGTATAAAGGACAATTACATAGATGAAAGTAAACTAGTGAAAAAAATAAAAACTATGTGAAAATTTAAGACGGGCGAAGTCGTAAAATATTTAGAATTATTTTTATAGTTGGTCAAAAAGCACTACCTACCTAATTGTTATACCTAGTGATTATTTTGGTTAAAAGCTTCTGCTACATGTGTTTGTAACTTTATTTGTATAGTATTATTAATGAACATTATATACTTATAGTTATACAGTGTGGTTGGAATCCTTATGTTTTTTTAATAAAGGTATTCAAATCAATGCATATTACATTGATACATTATATTTAGAAGTCGTCGTGGCCTAACGGATAAGACGTCCGGCGCATTCGTGTTGAGCGATGCACCGGTGTTCGAATCCCGCAGGCGGGTACCAATTTTTCTAATGAAATACGTACTCGACAAATGTTCACGATTGACTTCCACGGTGAAGGAATAACATCGTGTTATAAAAATCAAACCTGCAAAATTATAGTTTGCGTAATTTTTGGTGGTAGGAACTCTTGTGAGTCCGCGCGGGTGGGTACCACCACCCTGCCTATTTCTGCCGTGAAGCAGTAATGCGTTTCGGTTTGAAGGGTGGGGCAGCCGTTGTAACTATACTTGAGACCTTAGAACTTCTATCTCAAGGTGGGTGGCGCATTTACGTTGTGGATGTCTATGGGCTCCAGTAACCACTTAACACCAGGTGGGCTGTGAGCTCGTCCACCCATCTAAGCAATAAAAAAATAAAAAAAAACATATAAATAATTTTTGAATCTGTTCAAAACCTCGAGAGACTCGGTTTGTTTAAAGAAATAAATTAGCACCGTTAAATATTAGCTGTTCAACTATTTCAATATAAATTCACTGAGAACAACTAGGACTTTCGTGACAACAACACGTTCGATTGTGTTACGACAAACTCATTATTATATAGTGAAACCCGGTAAAACGCTCCGCTATGAATATTGGTAATTGTATGAACAAAAATATCACTTTTTTTAAACTTTAAACTACTCACGTACCGCTCAAATGGTACTATCACAATTCTTTCCCGGAACGCGAATTACAACCAGTATAAAGTTTCATTACAATCGGACGAAACGTTTATGAACCCATATACGACATACAATTTTTTAAAATTTAAAACTATAGACATATACAAATTACGCAACTACTTAATCTTTAAAATGAAGATACGATTTTTTTTAAAGTGACAGACATAATTATAAGTTCCAACAAGCTCAAACCGAAAATTTGCATATTTACACACAAGCTTCAATTAAAATTTCTACCGCACAAATCTACTATTACCGTAAGATATTTTGACGTTACATACAGACTGCTCACCAACACGCCATCACAGAAGACAAAAAAGAATCATTATATTAACTTAAAAAAACAGTTGTGATTTTAGTGGTAGACTACAGAAATGTGGGGAAATATTGCCTTTCCTCAAAGATTAGACCTTTTTGATGATATCACAAATGATAACGGTACTAGTATTGATGACTTGAAGTCAACTAGAACCTCATAAACCCAATAAGTTTTATCACGATTTTGCCATTATCAAGCAATTCACAAATCATAAATAAAAACTCAAAATTAAACAAACTTTCTACTGACTACATTGCAATAAGCCAATATCAATACTTGAAATGTTGATTTTGTACATAGGAGCAACATCTGGCCGAAGGAAATCGCGTAAGCTAAAATTAACTATGACACCGTAAATCATTGCTATATTTTCCTTGAACCTGGCTGTTTCAATATGTACTGATGCATATATTCATTCGCACTTTTTACCTGATAGAGGATCACTTTTGCCGATTCAATTAATGTAAATTATTATTCCCTGCTAAGAAGAAGCATGAACATACATTGTTTTAATAAATAAATAAAAAAACTTAGTACGAAATTCATTGACGTACATTTACATAGAGTAAATATTTTTTTATATTGGAAGCCTCTAGAATGTGAAAACTTTAATCTTTGAAAATCTGTAAACGATGTTAATAAATTATTTCCGAATTATATACTATGACTAGCTGTACCCGTCCGCTACGCTGGGCATTTAAAATTAACATTATTATTTTTCACCCCCACAAAGATTCTCATCATAAACGCCCTCGCAACTGCTGTAGGGAGTCCAATACTCCTATAAATATTAGCCTATCCATTAAGTACATGTATTTCCTACATGGATACCAAGTTTCAAGTCAATCGGATTCACGGTTCAGTAGTTATAACGGAACATCCGTAAAAACCACTGTATATTTAATATATTAGTATAGATAAGGTTGAAATATTGTATTTTGTATGCTTAATGGTTCTCACCTGCGTCAGCATAGAGAAAGCTGCGGCCATCCCAACCTGACCGACCCCGACAATGGTCACCTTGCTCCAAGTTTCGTCCACCTTCTCGTGCACGGGCTGGAACAGCTTCTTCAGGGACTCCATCTTGTCTAATAACATCAGAGCGAAACGTGAGAAAGTCACACCGCCTCTTTTACTCTCAGAGAAGCTTCAAATTACTCGACCTATGTCCGGAAACCGATATGTCTTACAATGAAACGCTCGAGTGGTTTTAGGGTAATAACCTTGTATTCAACTTGTATTTGTACAGTAGTGTAAGCAATTTTAGACATTTACACATGGCTTTACAGATCAATATCGTGTTCAATCACTATTTTTTTGTTTAGCACCTAGACTTGCGTGATTCTAAAACAAAACACTCAAACTCAATTATTAGTTTAGGTACCTCTGCTTGTCGTTGCAAACGATCAGCTAGTTCGTGAACGAGGTTTCGACTAAACGCGATACGATCGTGAGTGGGACGATATTATGTAGATAGCGCGATAAATTAGTTCGAATTGTTAAGTACGAATAAATGTGGTTATCGCTTTTTTTTACGATACTTTGCTGATGATCCGATACGAGTGCTAACCGCACATAAGATCAAGGCGCTTGTAGACCGCGGTTCGTCACGCAGTCAGACCACTGCTTAAAGTTTACTATATACAGTAATCCTTCTTATAACACGGTACTCTTATAACGCATTTTCGTATTACGCGATTTCAATCCCGCGTATAACACGGGTATTCCCCATATAACGCGGAGTTTTCACAGGCTATACATATTTCTGTACTGTGAAATTTATAATGATGTACAGTTCATAATTAGTTTCGCGTACCTTTGCACATTGTGTTGTTATAAAATTAGGTACATTAAATTAATTGATTAAATTTGTATTCCTAGTTTTTGAATTGTAAACACATTGGTTATGTAATATTATATTTGTATATATAATATATTATATTTGTACATAACAAGTTATATAGGGTCATACAAGCGCGTTATGCAAGAATGATCCTACAGACGTTTCCTATAACGCGGAAACAATCTACCGTGCTTTAGGGAGGATTGCTGTATTCGCCGGAAATCTGTAGAATACAACGGACAATTGAATTTGAAGATAACATTGAAGCAAATATTTTATTATAATTAATTTAGGATAAAAATCAATAAAACTTTCATGTTCGAGGTTTTTGGAGTTTTTGTACTTCGTCATGCGGTTAGTTTAGGTTTAGGCAAAATCACACCGAATTTATTTTTAATGGACGCAAGGTCAAGGTATTGTGGCACAAGTTTAAGGGCACTAAAATAAAAAAAAGGCTCAAAAATAATGTGAAATAAAAAAAAACTGACGCACTATTTAATTGAGCTTTAACCAACATAGCTGCAGAAATTTTTCATTATTAAAATGTAATTCAATGATGAATTGATTTTTTTTAAATGATCAAAATCATTTAGGAACATTAAATTACTGCGTCAGTAAACTGGTAATAACGGGGAATGTTAATTTTAAGTAGAACAAGAGAAGCGTTTAAGATTCAAAAGGTACTCATCACATTTCACAATGGCTGCAACTGCACGCATCCTGCATCAATCAATAATCAAAGCGAAAAGCGAAAAACTTTTGGTTCGCAAACAAATACGTGTACGGTAGAATTAAAAACTCACGGTAGTTCTCGCAATGCCCGTTGGTGTTGTTTGTCGCCATCTCAAATATTATTTAATACTGTAAGCAGTTAAAATACGCTTTCAAATATGATCAACCTTAAATAAATCAGGGTAATCTCATTTCATGAATAGCGAATTGTAACTGACCCTGCCCGACCCTAGTGTCTTGATAGGAAATCGAAAACAAAACGAACAAAATAAAAATAAATCTAAAATGAACAGTAAGGCCTAGGCCGCACTACGGTGAAACCGCTGCGGTTATTAACCGTGTGAGTTTATGAAACACGAAAACGAATACAAGCGGCCGCACTTGCGGTTTTTTCCCGCGACTGATTTTAAAACCGCGAAATGTTACAAAATTGTTGCGGAAAAAAACCGCAACAAAATTTGTAATCCATAGAACTAAGTGGTCGCACACGCACTATGCGTTAACCGCGGGCGGTTTTTGGGCTAGTATTCGGCCGACTGCCGCAAAGAATAGTTGTGTTGTCGTCTCGTCACAATTATGTCGTCGACCGAGTCGGAGTCTGTTTCAAATGCAGAGTACGAAAGTTTATCCCAGAAAATCATCGTGGAAGTACAGAAAAGACCAGCTTTATACGATACTACTTTGCGTCAATACAGTGATAGAAATGTGAAAAATAAACTTTGGGAGGAAGTTTATCACAACGTAGTTAATAATTGGATGACACTGTCGGAGGCTGAGAAAAAAAAGAAGGGTAAGTTTTTAAAGAGTATTTATTTATTACAAAGAACTCAAACTAAAAAAGTCGAACCCTTATAACGAAAGCTACTTTAGTTTTGTTACCTATTTTTAAGGAGATGTTGTTTTGAGTTAACAGTGAAAATTCTGTTTTTGGCATTAATTAGTTACTATACTTTTGAGGGTGAGATATCTTTTAAATATTTTCATATTGCCAACTCAACGCGCCCGCAGTAGATGTAAAATAATCAGCAAACAAATTTCTTACATCTATAACGTTATTGCTAGAACGCGTACGAATTGAAGCAATACCCTGCATCTCTGAAACTTGAAACGATTCATTAAGCTGTTTACCGTCATGTTGTCTTACAAAGTTGTGCAATATGCAACAAGCTTTAATAATATGGTCGCAAAAATCTAATTTCACATCTAATGGTCTATGTAAAATACGCCATTTATTTGCCATGATCCCAAATGCACATTCGACAGTCCTTCTGGCATAAGATAATCTATAGTTATAAACTCTTTGTTTTATGGATAAATTTCTATTTGGATATGGCCTCATTAAGTGCTCCATAAGTGGAAAAGCTTCATCGCCTACGAAAACAAACGGTAAAGGTCCGACTTCCTCATAATCAGGTAATGTTGCAGATTCTGGTAAATGCATTTGGTTGTTCAAAAACCTTTTGCCAAAATTTGAGTTTTTAAAAACGCTAGAGTCGCTATTCGATCCATATGCCCCAACATCTATAGCAGTAAAGCAATAGTCTGCATCAGCTATAGCTAATAATATTAAAGAATAATACTTTTTGTAATTGAAGGCTTCTGAACCAGTATTTTCTGGCCTTTCTATTCGTATATGTTTTCCATCTATGGAACCAAGACAATTAGGAAAATGTGTTCTTTCAAAATAAAAATTTGCTATATTTATCCAATCCTCTTCTGTTTTTTCAGGCATATATGTAGGTTGCAAACATATCCACAAACTCTTGCATGTGTGTTCAATTATTTCACTCAGAGTTGTTGTGCCGATCAAATATTCAAAATACAAGGACTTCATACTATTACCACTGGCAAGATACCTGAAAAAACAACATTATATTATTATATTTCTATTTTTGTTACAGGTAGTACAATACAAAAGAAATGGAAGAATATGCGCGACAGTTTTTCTAAAGAATTAGCTATACAGCGTGGTAAATCTGGTCAAGGTGCTATAAAAAAGAAAAAGTACGTTCATTTCGATTCACTGTTGTTTTTGGTACCATCTTTACAAAAAAGGGAGACTAGCAGTAATATCGAATTTACTTCACAAGATAACCCTGATACGGACTTATCTGAAACCCTTCCACTAACGAATAGTAATCGAACCCCATCCAGTAAGAAGGCTTCCAAAAGCCGAAGTAGCTGTGAAGATTATGAACAAAAATTGTTAAATTTTTTGAATACAAAGGAGAATGCGTGTGAATATGACGAAGATATAAACTTTTCACAAATGATTGTACCAATGTTACGGAAACTTAATGACGATCAGAAACATTTTGCCAAAGTAGAAATTATGAATATTTTGCAAAAAGCCAAATCTTTCTATCCATTCGAAACACCAATTCATAATCAAAGACCAAGATCACATTTGTCATTCACGCAAACGTCGTCTCCGCAATCATATTATACATATTCCCCATCTCCACCTCCAACCATGCCGATAATGCCACCAGTTTCAACACCAGTACGACAGCTTGTGTCAGGACCTGCAAAACAAACCATCTATTTGCCACTTAATACTCCTGTTCCACCAACATTACAAGCAACCGTGCATTCTCTTCAAGAACTCGAGCAACAAGAACAACAGTTACAATATGCACAAAATGAACAAGAAGAGCCTACAGCAGCCAATTATCTGTCGCAATTTCAAGAACAATAATTTTTTTAATTTTTTTTACCAATAAAAATACCTATAAAGTACAATATATATGCATGTGTGTGTAATTTTATTTCTTACCTCAAAGTCACAGACAGACGCTCCTCTGGTGAAATACATTTGCGAAATTTTGTATCCATGAAGGTGATGTATGGACGCACGTTGTGCAAAATTTTATCGAAGCTGGCCACTGACATTCGAAAGTAATTGAAAAATTTATCTGGATGTTCTCTTAAAATTTTATACTTTTTCTGAAAGAAACCTTTCTCAAATCTACGGCTAGTGAGTGGATGTATCCAATATTTGCGAAATTTTCGTTGACGTCTTTTTTTTCTATTTCTTAGTACCAGAGCAACAATACATACTGCTCTTTTGAAATCCATCTTCAAACTGTGAAAATCACGAGCGGTTTCGCGGTTTATAATCGTAGTGTGTACGTCTCAAGCGGTTTCGCGGTTATAGCGGTTAACCGCTCCCGGGAAAAAACCGTAGTGCGGCCTAGGCCTTANATATTTGCGAAATTTTCGTTGACGTCTTTTTTTTCTATTTCTTAGTACCAGAGCAACAATACATACTGCTCTTTTGAAATCCATCTTCAAACTGTGAAAATCACGAGCGGTTTCGCGGTTTATAATCGTAGTGTGTACGTCTCAAGCGGTTTCGCGGTTATAGCGGTTAACCGCTCCCGGGAAAAAACCGTAGTGCGGCCTAGGCCTTATCTTTATGAATGAAATTACGTACGAACACTTGAACATACTACGCAGCGGTAATATGACTGTATTCTTAATGATCTTCCTCATTATTAATTCCTGAGGCTGCAGGAAAATGAACGGTTTTCAACAGAGTTATTATTTATTATATGGCCCACCTGATGGTGAGTGGTTACCGTCGCCCATACCACTTCAGCAATACCAGGGGCAGAGCCGTAAAATTAAGAAATCCTATTATAAGTATGACCTAACGAACGTTTTACTCTTCTGTAAATAATACATAAGTGTAATATTTAAATTTCACACTTCATTTCATTAAAATATTGTAAATACCTATTGTACCTATATAATGTATGTGTTGTAAGTATATGTGTATTTTATTGGATTTGTTTATATGTGTATAGATTCTGGAATTATGTCAGTGTTTTTGTTATTTTCTTAGATTACGCCAACCTCTCCTATAACCAAAAACATCTCTATCTAAAGGTTGACTGGAATATATTGCTTTCAGCTGTAAGTCCGCCTATTGTACTTAAGTTTTAAGTTTTTTTTTTCATTTACTTTTTATATACATGGTCGTTGTTTTGGTGTTGCGCCACTTTGAGAAGACGGCATGGCATGAAAACCCTCTTGTCGTGGCCGCCGGGAATTACATAACCGATCCTGTAGACCGAATGGTAAATAATCAACGTCGCCCTAAGCACATCATTACGTATCCTCCTGATACATTAACGGTGCTTTTAGGTATCACAAGCACCGGACACAGCCCAGTGAGTTTCTCGCCGGATCTTCTCTGTGGGTCGCGTTTCCCATCCGGTGGTAGATTCTGCGAAGCACTGCTCTTGCTAGGGCCAGTGTTAGCAACGTTCGCAGGTTAGAGCCCCGTGAGTTCACCTACACGTCAAGGAGAAGCTGATATAGCCTCTCAAGGCTATCAGCATAGATAGGAAAGGAGAAAATTTTGGTGAACCTGAGTGCAATAAGCTGTTATTTATTGTACTTTAATTTGAGCACAGCGTCTATCTTATTGGTGTATTTACTGGGACGACTGGGAAGGCACTACCGTTCTGCCCAAATCTGCAGCGAAGCTATGATACGCTCTGATTGTACAGCCTTTCTCGACTTCTATTGGCTAGAAGCATTCACAATCACATCATATGTAATAATTGTGAAAGAAAAAAAAAAAAAAAAAAAAAAAACAGCAATCGAATTTTTTTTAAATTTCCTTTACAAACACGCCAGCCGTTGTCACCTGTAACACTGAGTAACACAATATCCTAAAAAAAGAATTGCTTATTTATAGTAAAACCAAGTTTCTCTGTTCCCAGTCGACACGATGGAAAAAAAAAAAAACCAAATAAATTTGCTAGTATAAAAAATGGCAATGAAACTTTTCTTATTCCAAGCATAAAGACGTATGTGGACACATTTATGTAAAAAAAAGTCATGTTTGAGGTGACATATATTATAAAACAATTAACACGAATAGTAAAAATCGAAAAAAATCTATGCAAAACTGATTCGTTTAAGATAATAAATAGTATGCAAAAATAATGCTTGCGTAGGTACTGCTTCCAAATATGATAAATTACATATTTCATTTAGTCTATCATCGATGCTTGCAATAAATTAAATTCAAACTTGGGGCCACACGATCGTGCATCTAGACGCGACCTAATCTTGTTTTTATCATTACACTACGTGTAAATTTCCAAATGCTTGTGACGACGAATTGTGAAATACTTTGGGTAATTACGAGATGCATTTCTTGTTAAACGAGATGATTGTTAAAAGTGGGAAACTTTACTGAGGCAAAACCTCGCATCGAACACCGGTAAGTTTTACGTCATGGACGCACGAACTGACCGTTCTTAATGTTTAACAGTGTACCCTTAACTTAAGCGAAAAAAACAATTGTCTACGCTAAACATAAGTTGTTGTTTTGGTGCGTTAATATATGTATTTTTTATGCACTAGATGGGAAAACCCACCCCCGAAGATTTAATAAGGGGAATAGCATCACCTTCCTTGTGACATGAAGCCTACTTACAATAACATAATTGTATTCTGGAAATCGAAACTTGACTATCTAAATAGTACAGTTTTCTTTATATTTTGTATCTACTGTTTTTTTATTTATTTTTTATTTTGACGGATGGAAGTATTACTGGTGGCCCGAAGGCCTTTCCAGCTTAACCAGGACATGAGAGTGAGCAAAAGCTCAGCCAGGAGAGATGGGTTTTGCTAGCAACTGCTAGAGCGCCTCCAAAGGAGACCTAATAACTCAAGGGCAGCTGTTTGGCGAATTAATCTACCACCGAAATAGAATTGACTTTTATCTATTGTTTGACGGAGTTTTTTTTTTGTTTGTTTCCTACCTAAGCTGATAGCCTTGAGAGGCTATTTCAGCGTAACCTTAACTAGTAGGTGAGCTCACGGGGCTCAAACCGGAGTGATGCTAACACTGACCCTAGCAAAAGCAGTGCTTCGCAGAATCTACCACCGGGTCGGAAACGCGACCCACTGAGAACATCCGGCGAGAAACTCAGTGGGCTGTGTTTCACGGAGAGTGCTCTAACGAATTCTTCGATAGGATTCCGGCCAGTGAAGCAGATAAATCCTACAACCTTTGGCCATATACACAACGTATTTACCGAGCGTTTAGAATATATTTGCTGCTGTTAGACAAGTGCACTGCCATCGGACTTACATCTCGGCGTTCGAAATCCATACGAAAATTAACAGTAACAATAAAACAATAATAAACCACGTCGATAATTCTCAGAATCCTAAGAATCGATAAATTAACGATAAAACCTCATGAATACAGCGTATTAATTACAAATGGGTTCCACGAAGCTCGTCAGCCTCAAGGAACACAGAAGGAAAGTCAAAGGAAAAATCGATTACAAGAAATTTATTCCTTAATTACTATTCTGGTCGCAGTTAAAACAAATTACTGTCATTGTCTAAAAATAAGTTCACGACGCTCTACACTCGGCGGCAGATAGGAGCAAATGGCGTAGAATGACCAGAATAAACTCTGGTCACCTTAAAGTCACGATTCTGGGAGGCGGTCACGAGCAAGAAGAAGAGAAGAAGAAGGTGGCTTAAAATTGACAAATCATTTCATTAATGAAAAATGAGCTTTAGGAAATACCAATCAATATCCATAATCGCACTTATGACCTCTCACACTAAGCACGTGTGCTATCGCTGGGCTGTATGTGCATTTTAATGCAGTTTATTACGCATACAGTTACCTTTTTATTGTAGTATTTGTGCAGGCCTATTACGCACTTCGGTTAGGCGGAGGCTTTGTTCGGTGCAAGTAAAAGTCGAGCGTCTACGTGATCGATTGCACGTCAGACCGGAGATAGGTACCGATAGCAAAACAACAACCACTTTTCAGGGACATTTTTTGTTTATAATTTGTTTCAAAAATTTAGACTATTTTAATTTTGTAAGTACGAAACTGTAATAAAGATCTAAACTTAAGCAATAGAACTTAAGAATAGCCATATGTTATACTACAGATACCTACCTTTTTTGCAAACCTGTGCTTTGTTAACGAGCAATCGAAAGCAAATGTTCATCACGCATTATATTTTACATTGCGCCGTAATACTAAAAGAATCAGTAAAACATAATTTTCGATTGAGATTTCTTTAAAGAGGTATTACTGCTACTTCTATCAGCATGTCTGTTAGTACAGTTATTACAATACCAGTTATCAGCATATCGACTGACCTTAGCGAAATGCCAAAAATCTCAACCAATTTTGACAAAATGTTAATTTTGGGAATTTCTCGTCATGTTTTTTTACATTGTCCTATTATTTTCTTAAGCATGTGACATCTCCAACTCAAGGTATACTTTTAACATATTTTAACTCGGAAAAGCTGTTATATACGGAACCAAACGTAATTAAATAAAGTGAATACAACACGCTAACGTATTGTCGTAGCGATCAGCGATAAGATAAACGATCCTTGACTGCAAATTGAGGTTATGTACTACAATTTTGTTTTCAAATGTTGTACCAATTAAAATATCAGGAGTTTACTATAACCGTTTTCTTGAAGACAACTTATTTGTGTTTAGGGAACGAACTAGACGATAACCGGTTTTTTTTTGATAAATTGTGTTTTTCGGGTGTCTTAACAACGCCATCTGCTGAAATACCTTTAGTGTTATTGTTTCTTTAAAAATAGTAATATTATTCGCCAATAGATGTCTGGACGAGGATTACTGAAAACACGATTAAAACAACATTATCTGAAAATAAATCGTAGCTAGATCGATTTATCGTCCCCGAAATCCCCTGTATACTAAATCTTATGAAAATCGTTGGAACCGTTTCCGAGATTCAGATTATATATAGATCAGAATATATATATATTAATATACAAGAATTGCTCGTTTAAAGGTATAAGATTCAAGGGTATGCATAGATAGTATTCGTTTACACTTGTTTTTTTCATACTTTTCTTTCCACCACTGGCTAAGCTAAGTTAGTAAGAACATAAACAGAAATGCCTAAGCTAATCTCAGTATTTTCGAAGACTTCTCAAAAAGCCGCGTCTCCTAAAGTGCGAAATAAATATACATATGTGTTTCAAAATTAAAACGCAATTCGCCCCCGACTACTACAAAAACTATGAAATATTCGAAGCATTGTTAAATGCTTTAAATAAA